CACCACAGAACGACCATTGTCACGTCTCCGATAAATAGGATAACCATCATCGTCAAAAGTAGAAACATTAACAAACTTTTTGGGAAAGTGTTTAGTATATTTACCCTTCGCCATGCATGGAGAATTCAACTGAGCTCTACCGCAAGGACCGTGCATCATAAACTCATCCACTAATTTGACGTATTCTGGATCTTGTATTGGATCAGGTAACTCAGCTGAAATATTGTTGTCCAAATGTAGCCCATGTGATGCTCCATGTTGTTTATCGAGAAATAAAAGTATATGAGCATGCGGTAGGCCACGCTTTTGAAATTCGATGGTATAAATAACTGTTAACATGGAAAATGGGTTTAAAGTCAGAATATAAACAACGTTATACAAAAAAATTCTTACACAAATAAGTTCATAAGCATAACGAAATAGTTAAGTACCTCCAATGACGGGTCCGAACAACTTGTTCTTCCTGCATTCAGAAATTAAAGCATCCAACTTCATCTTGAATAATCTGCATATTATGTTAGGCCGGTCTTCTGGTTTAAATTACGATCAGTCAAGAAGCGTTTCACCTCAGGCCACTTTGGATTGCATGTGAATGTGATAAAGAGATCCGGGTATCCAACCCATCTACATATAGCCATAGCATCCTGGTAATTCTGTATCATGTATCTAGCACCACCAGTAAAACTTGAAGGCAATATTATTCTCTTTCCTTGAGTCCGAGGATCCACTTCACCGCGTGTTAATGCATCACTCAAGCAATTATATTTTTCACACCTCAAACTCTTTTGGTGTGTCCTTATATATATCAACCTTCCCGGCTCCACCATTGTATACGCATCGACCAAAAATTGTTGGAAAAGCCTTTTTTGCATGAACTAATGTAGAAACCTGCGACAATCTTGACTGAATGAGGTATAGTATGAGAAATATTCCCTAGGACTAATCCTTTGACGACCACCTGAACTGTTTCCTTTTAATGTGGAGAATTGGATGTCTTCCCTATAACCGTCCTCACCATAAGGAAACAACAACGGGTATTGCATTGGTAAGTAAGCTGGGTTTAGTTCACTAATTCGTTGCAATAGACCACTCTTCGTTTCCACTACGACGTCACGCTCACCAATATTTGCATCAATATCCCCAACAATTAATGCAGCAACTTTAGAAACTTGAGGCAAATTGTAAGTTCTCGCATCCTTTGATCTCTTAGCAAGCAATTTTATCTTTACCTCAGCCAAAGGATATTTTTCTATTTCTAAACGGGCCATTCTGAAGGATTTTACCAAAACATTATTTGCATCCAACGCTTGTTGAATATCCTTGACAATTTCTTCATGGATGTCACTTAGATCATCGTCTGGCCTATTAATATAACATCAAACGTTTTAATAAATTCAATTAGAAAGGGAGTTTATTTAATATACGGCATTATATTCAACAATAACCTATCACAATATAGACATACCTTACGGAACTGAGCCGATTCACCAATTCATTATTAGTATCATAGATATACAACTGCACAAAATGTGGTCTTTTCCCGTCCACCGGCAAAAGACTACCAATGTAGTGGAAGTTTTGTCCATGTATCCGGAAAACTGGTGGACCACCTTTTTTGTTGACATCTCTATCTATCTTACCACCCATTGATGTAAAGCAGAACATATTATTGTACGTTCTTATGTTGTTCAAGAAATGCTTGCTTTTTTCACCACCTCCAAAAAAAAGGTCATATATCGGCGACGGGGGCAATTGTGTTGTTGGCAATTGAATCTTACCATTGTTGCAACACATTGTATATCTGGGTGTACCATGAATCACCGTTTTGTTTATCCTTTCCTCGTGCCAAAAAATCACCCGCAATGTTGGCATGTGTTATTTGCATCACCAAAATCATTGTATTCCACTAAGTATAAAAATACTAAATCAATGATTTAAATAAAATAAATCATACTTAAAAACGTTTTATTTAAATAAAATTAAATTTGAGACATACCTTTGTTTGCATCTGACGGTTGTAATACATTAGTCAGATTTTCTTCTTCTTCAACATTTTGATTGAATCCTGTATAGAAATTTTAGAATTTGTCAAAGCTGATTCCCCTGTTTCTTTAAAATAAAGAATAACATTTGCAACTAAGTTTTAAAAATTACCATTGGCTGTTCCGTTTAGGTTTGTTGATACTGTTGGAATATTGGAGATTTCTTCAAACGCCATAAATAAATCTCTATTAAGCACATTCGTTGCCTTTGGGTCTGCACTGAACTGCGTGTTTTGTATGATGTTTCTGTTTGTATTGACTTACAAAAAAGTACAGTTTTAAAATAATATACATAATATCGCCGTCCATGAATAATTATAAAAACCAAAATAATAAACTTACCATTAGATATTTCTGAAAGCGGTCGTCTTGTGGTTGTGGATTGTGATACTTGACCTTTTACCGTTAAATTGCATAAAACACGAACGTATAAATTAACAAAGTATATATAAAAACACAGATACATTGTAAAACATAATTTAATGTACCATTAGTTATGCCGCTACTTCCAGTATTGAAAACAGGGCTGTTGACTCCTAGCACGAATTTTCTGCATTTACTGTTGGTTTTTGTATATTTCATATTATGTGCGCTGAGGTGTATACTCACAAATTCTTGTTTTCAGAAAAGAAAATAAAATAAACATTAGCAAAAAAATTATACATACATGAATCTAAAAGAATAATACCATATATATTGAAAATTAAATTGTTTTGATTTACCATCCGTGAGCGAAGTGTTTGGTGTTGTAGTTCTATTAGAAGTGAAAATTGGTGTTCGTGCCGTGTATGAGTGCGTTTGATTCTCTTCTCCGACAACATCAGTATTTTTTCCAACCGTTTTACTATGTACATTTTCTGCAACATATTAGAAAATGGGTTAGATAATATTCCCTCTGTATAATAATACTAGTTTTTTACGCGCATTGCGCGATTGGGATAATGCCCAATGCTTTTTTTTTAAATAAGTACTTTAAAGTATATTAAGGCAAGATTATATTGAAATTGTTCATACATAGATAATTGAAGGTTGAATTTGCGTATTTAAATAGGTAATTCTTCTCCCAAAGGTTGAGTCCCCAACCCCAAGGGCCCCCCACAATCCGACCCGACAGAGCATTGTGGGAAGTTGTAAATCACGGTGACTCAATGGTTCAGCAGACAAGGCCAAATGCTGGTACGCACAAGGAATCTGCCCACTTTGGACATAATTCACGCATTGCCGCCACCGAGGTTCAAACCTTGGTTTCTTCTCCCAAATACTACCCACTAAACCATTGAGCTAAGCCCGTGCAGGTTAAATAGGTAATTCTAAGTTTACAAATGCAAGATAATATAGTCAATATTGATTATAATTGTCAATAAAATAATTGTATAGGTATGATTGAAACCAAATACGGGACATAAGGGAGAACAAATAAAAATTAGGGCATAAAATATGAAATATATACTAATATTGTTTGAGGAGATTCCGACATTAGGATTTGTGGTTAAGTTCTATTAAGACATTAATATTAGAATTAGATTAATGGTGTAGTTATAATTCTATATTAGACTTTAATATTAGAATTAGACTAACGGTGAATTAACGGAAAAGTTAAATGGATAATCATATAATTAAGGATAAATTAGAAAATCTTAAAAGAAAAAAAATTAAAACCTGAACAATATGAACCATTCATTTGATTTAATAATTTGGCGGTCATTTTTTCTACCCAATGTTAATAATTAAATAAATTCGCTGGTCAAATCCGCTTGTATAATCCGCTAACGTTAACCGCTAACTGCTGATTGTCAAACAAGGACATTGCGAGGTAGTTATCACTTGTTGTGTGATTTGAATACTCTCTTTGTCACAAAATCTCTCAAGTAGTTAATACGGTTGGCTTTATTAATTATATTTTTTAAATTTTTTCATGGTATTAATAAAATACTTGGTAAATAAATATATAGCATTATTTTATGTTATAACTTTGATATTTAATTAGAAAAGTAGTGCACAAAAAAGATAATAGATAATGTAGTGAATATAATCAATTGATGAATTTGAATGTAAAAAATTTTACATTTGAGAAAAATAAAGACAATATAACTAATGAAAATATTTCTTTTAATTAATTTATTGATAATTAATAATTTATTTTTCACTGAATAAAGACATTGTAAGGACAATGTAGATTATATAATCAATTAATAAATTTGAATATAAAGAATTTTTATATTGAAGAAAAATAAAGACAATATAACTAATAAAATTATTTATCTTATTTAATTTATTGATAATGAATATATTTTTTTTTTTGAATAAAGACATTGTGAACACATAATTCTAAATTAAAGAAATGCATATGTATTATTTTTTGTTGTAACTACTAAATTATTATTTATATAATTTAATAAGAGTAAAATAGAGTACTAATTATGCCAACTTTGATTGGGATGAGGTTCGAACCTAAGACTTTTTTTTTTTTTTTTATTGAAATCAATGAGTAAGTTAACGGTGAACTAACGGCAATTCTTAAAATTTTAACGGAATTACTAACGGTGTGTGGGTATTTTAGGAAATTTTAGTGTAAAATTTAAATCTGATCAATCTTTTAATCAATCTGAGCCATTCATTTCATTAAAATCTGTAACCGCCATTTTTTCTACCCATTATAGGCCTAACTCTCTTGGGCTCTTATTAGTATAGTATAGTATAGTAGATAGTAGATGTACAAAATAAACACATGACAAAATCTATACTTAGCCCATTTATAGCATAACAAAATATATACTTAGCCCATTATAATAGACACATAATATATAGTTAGCCAATGTATACCCTAACCAAAATATCTATCAATATAATAATCCCACATTCCCTACCCAAACCCGACCCTAATACCCATAACCGGACCCATGACCCAAACCCGAACCTTTTTTCCCTTTGACTACCCGGACCCCTCATTCGGACAGTGTAGAACAACACCAATCCCTTAGCTCTCTCTCTCTAACACTCAATCCGATCGCGTTGTCAATCCCTTAGCTCTCTCTGTCTCTAACACTCACTAAGATCGCGTAGAATCACTCCGATCTTGTTCATGGCGCTCTATTCTTTAGGTTTTCAACTCCATTTCGAGCAGAATTTCATTCTGACCGAACTCTCTCTCTCTCAATGTAGAAGTAACTGTTGTTCGTCTATACACACACCTCACCCTACAATGTTGCCGATTTCCAGGAAAAAAACACTTTATGAGTTCGATTTCACTGATTTAGGTTCGATCTACTGTTAAAGTTACATTTCTGGTGTTTTAGAGTAAGAGGTTAGAGATGAGTCAGTCTAATATCTGTGGATTCTACACGGTGTCGAGAAACCTAATATCAAGGTAAAATTTCGAACTCTTTTGTGTTTATATATATTTATCTGTGTACATCAACAATTTGAAGCATTACTTAGTGTATAGATTTGTTATACACACCAAAGCAGTTAGGGTTTTACAGAAATTTTAATCGTTGTCTTAATTTCAGGTATTTTGTGAACAATAACACTAAGTTTACAGTTTAACAATGGCGTAAAGATGTAAAAATTGTCTCAACAATGTACATACAACAACATTTGGCAAAGGTAATGCTTAAATACTAAAATCTTAATGTGCGTATGTTATCTGGAGTGTTAATTGGCTGCTTCCTTTTGCTACCTATAATTGTAGAACTGAGTATTTAATGCATGATTACTGAGTGCAATTTTTCTGTGTTGTAAAAGTGAAACTGTCAATATTTGAACTGTCTGAGTGTGTTTAGATTTAGGTTTTATATCAGGTGTTGTTTATAACTTGTCTTATTTGTCTAAAAAAAAGGGTGTTTTGTGTGCAAAATGAATTAGTAGTAATAATTTATATGACTGTTGAGTTTTTCTTGGGAACAGGATAATTTCATATTAATGTGTAATTGATATTTTGAGATTGCTGACATATTAGCTGTGTAATTTATCATACCATGGACTTTACCATGGGCAGTTAGTTTTATAGGCAAATGATGATCTTCACAATCTGATGCCAAAATGATGTTAAATATCTGTTTCTTAGATAAATAATTCAATGTGAATTGTTTTGGTTTAGGGAATGAATTCCATATTTCATTTTAAACTTCCTTTCAAATCCGTTAAAATTGTATTCCAAATTTCATTTTAAAATTACTTTCAATTCTTTATATGAGTTCATTAATTTGAAATTGTAAAAGTGGTATTACTAATCAGTTATTTTTATAGGCAACTGATGATCTTACAAATCTGATGCCAAAATGTTTAGCAGTTTCTGATTCTTAGATTTTTAATTGTCTGTGGATTGTCTTGCTTTAGGGATTTAAGTACAAATGTACATATCTTGCATGACTGTTTCAATCCATTTATATGAGTCCAATCCTTGGTTAGTAAAGTAACAAATCATGTACTTTATAGTAGGATAGATTGTAGGACAGATTGTATTTGGCTAAAATGGATTATGATTTTTTAACATTAGTTGAGTACGTTATTTTTTACTAACAGATTTTTTTTTGGCTAAAAAGTTCATTTCGTAGGCAAATGATGATCTTCAAAAACTGATGCCTAAATGATGGATAAAGTGTTACTATAACATCATTAATTTATTTATGACTGTATTGCTAGGTAATTCAGTAAATAAAAAGAATTGGAATGAATTCCAAAATCTTTATATGTGTACATTATTTAAAATATTAATCTCAAAACACCAAAACTTTCATAAATGGTTGTTTTTCCTTTAGCTTTATTTTTTTCAAAATTTATTTAAGCTAATTTGATTTGGAATTTCAAATTCAAAATTTCAATTTAAATTGACTTTAAATTGATTAGATTAGATGATTACTTTGACATTGTATTATTACTAAACAGTTAGTTGTATAGGCAAATGATGATCTTCAAAATTGGATGCCAAAATGATGTTAAATATCTGTTTCTTAGATAAATAATTTAATGTGAATTGTTTTGCTTTAGGGAATGAATTCCATATTTCATTTTAAACTTCCTTTCAAATCCTTTAAAATTGTAGTCCAAATTTCTTTTTAAAATTACTTTCAATTCCTTTATATGAGTTCATTATTTTGAAATTATAAAAGTGGTATTACTAAGTAGTTATTTTTATAGGCAACTGATGATCTTACAATCTGATGCCAAAATGATTAGCAGTTTCTGATTCTTAAATTAATAATTGACTTTGGATTGTCTTGCTTTAGGGATTTAAGTTCAAATTGCATTGCTTTAGGACAGTCAGTATTTCTTTATGTAATTCAGTAAAAAAAAAATTGAAATGAAATCAAAAATCTTTATATCTGTAAATTATTTAAAATGTTAATCTCAAAACAGCAAAACTTTCATAAATGGTTGTTTTTCCTTTAGCTGAATTTTTGTAAAAAAATAATTTTAGCTAATTTGATTTGAAACTTAATAATATTTAGTCAATTTTAGTTTATTTTAGATAAGAATTGGTGTGCTTGGATGTTTGATGGGAGATTTTACCTTTCCTAAATGATTTGGTATTTAATCAGTTGTTTTAGGTACATTATATTTAAGTACAAATGATTCTATTAAAAATGTTAAGAAAAAACAATAAACAAATTACAACTACAAAAGACTTGGTAAGAATACAAAAATGTTTAGACTACATTTTAATCCAATTTGATGTTCTACTTTGTTTTGTTGCTACTGTTTGGTTGATTGTGGTTTTAGCTGATGCCTTGAAAACTGATATCCTTTATTGCTGGTTCTTGATATTCAACCTGCATACAGTTAGATACACAATACAATATCAAAATACTCAAAAAAAAAAAAAAGCCAAATTACTCAAAAACAGTTATTTAGCACTATTAAGTGCTTAACCATTGGTGCTTCCCAAAAACAAAATCCAAAAAAATCCACAACCACACAGAGGTGGACAATTGTCTTACAGTTTCTCAATTCCAAACCAACAGAACAGAAAGATCACATTGTTTAGTTTTACAATCAAACTTTAGGCTTCTTAACCTTGCTAGAAGAACAGAACTCATCAAGGAGTGATCTCTTACCCACATTACAGTCTTCCAAATCAGCCACAGGCTCTGAGTTTGCTGAACACCGGTTGGGCTGTTGACCTCATTATCACCATTGGATGCTTCCTATAAATGGAAGCATTGATTTAGTTTTCAAACTTAGGCAAAAGTATAAAAACAAAAAAAAAAAAAAAAAAAAAAAAAAAAAAAAACTGAAATGCTAACATAAATAGTATTACCTGATCAGATTCATCATCATCCTCTTCATCCTCATCAATCATTTTAGATATAAGATCCTTCTCTTGGTTGTCTTTCAGCTTTGAACAGTAGGTGGAGACTAATATTTCATCCCTCAACAGTCTCATCACAGTATAGGCTGGATTGGCTCCCCTCATTTGACTGATTTTCAATGATATCTTAAATATCGTTGACATTCCAATTAGTGATTCCAACTCTTTTGGAATGTCTGAAACCTATAACCAAGACAAAAACAATTTAGGAAAAGTTAACACAGAAATAGATTTTGTATCTAATATACCATTATAAGACAGTGATGTGTTTGGGATAATTAGCTTACCTTGTTATATTTCTTGTAGAGGAGGTTTGCAGGGATTCCTACCAAGTCTGAACACTCCCTATCCCATAAAAGGAAGGGAGCATCTGATAATCCTATATCCATAACTCTTATTTTTACCTGATATCTTGCCATTCCTTCCTTGTACTTTTTATCACAATTAGAACAAAGTAGATCATCTCCATCTGGTTTCAGTTTTCTGTTGCAACCTGATGTCATGCAAGATATGTACATCCATCCAAATGAACCTTCAATTCCTACAATCTCTGCAGGGACATAAAAATCCCCATCCTGCATTGAACCAAATAATTAATTAGTAACACTGCTAATTGAGTGATTAAATCTAGTCCTAGCAGACATAATGTAAAATGAATACAATTCTCACCTGTTTGTTTTTCAATATATCACCAACTGAAGTGACAGTGAGAGCACCACTCCTGAATTCAGAAATCCCAGTGGACTGGGACATAACTATTGGATGATCATGCTATTGGATGCTTATTTACTAATTGCGTTGTCTTCTCCGTTCTCACATGCATGATCATCCAATAATAACTGTGGCAGTGCTAATACTTCTTAAAGGACTATGAAGAGTTGTTATCCTACACAGTCCAAAAAAAAAAAAAAAAAAAAAAAAAAAAAAAAACCAAACACAATGAATACCTTACTGTAAATAAGATTCTACAAATTTAGATTTAAAATAAAAAATTAGAAACTTACTTGGACCTGAAATCTTCAACTTCCTGATAAGAGGAATTGAAGTATAGCTTGGTAGCATCATAGGAACTTGTGATCCTGACTTCATCTAATAGGACAACATAAAAAAAAAAATTAAACAGTGATGTCTAAAATAATGATTTAGGGGAAGCAGAAAAATAAACTGAAATAAATCTTAGGGATAACTAAACATCTTACCATTTACAATTTTTGCCCTACAAAGCTGAATAACCACAACTACTGGTTCTTTGAGATCTGAATTGTAGAATGGTAGCATGGGAGCTACATGGTTATCCCAAACAGTGCATTTCAAATGATTTCCCCTGTATTGAAATGTGTTAGTAAAATGGAAAAATATTTTAATGAACTTAATACATTAGATTGTATGAAACTTACTCATTGTCTGCTATCTTGAAATCTATTAGTTTAGCTGGTTTCCCCCCTATTATTTTGTCAACTGGAGCATGTATCTCAATGACTCTGCCTATTACATCTGTAATCCAACAAAACAAATTTATATGGGTGGAAAAATAAAATCTGAAAATTTAGCATTGCATACAGAAATGACTTACCAAACATGACTTTGTCATTCACTAAAGTTGGATCTTTCAGACATTGATAGGGTTTAAGCTGAAACATGTTGGTAGGAAAGCCTCTGGATTTGATTGCCTTGACCTGAGTATCGTAGTTCAACCTTATCATATACTGATGATCACAAGTCCTATACATATAGTACTGACTGAACACCAAATTTTTTTTTAGAGAATAGAGCTTCCCTTCCTTGAACACATTCTTGTACTGGTCTACATCCGAGTTTTGCATGTTTACGTGAATAAAAGTTCCCTGCATGATAGATTAGTGAACAGATTTTATACTGTGGAATGAAAGACAGGAAAATTTAACAGTGACAAAAATTGTGCTTACCTCTTCATCGCATACCAGAACCTCTCTACTCTTCATCTGTTTCGAGCCTCTCCTTTACGGTATTTCATAAACTCTAACACACCTAACTCGTATGGCCCTCTCTCTATCAAGAGGGACAATATCTTTAACCAAAATATACTGACTTGGAATGGTTAAATTTGCAGGGATTTTGAATATGGTTGACTGCTAATGAAGAGATGGAACAATGGTTGGTGAAAAAAGATTGACACAGGGGTTTATATAGGCTCAAGAAGTGGAATTTGAAATTTGAAGCTACCATTACTTGCAGCCGGAATAGTGATGGAAACCTTTGAGTTTCCAAGAAAGAAATCAGAATCATCATGCTGATTATTTCGAAGCATTTTTTTTTAAAATACGTTGTTCAATATGTATGTGTATATTTGAATGTCTTTAGGTGTATATATGTAAATTGATATATGAAGTCTTGGAAATAGATTATATTTAGGTTCTCATTAGAAGTCTTACATAATTAGAAGTCTATTTAATATCATTGGTATCATAACATATTAGCCGTATAATGCACATTGGAAAGCGAAACGTTGATTGAAGACAATAAATTCGAAGCTTTTATCTGACTTCTCAAAACGACGCAGTTTCGCATGGGCGGGAAAATGTGTTTAGTAGAAAGTTACTGATATTGATAGATAGATAGATAGATAATAATAATAATAATAATAATAATAATAATAATAAATTAGTTAATAGACAAATATGTCAAAATTTTTAAAAAAAGTTAATACAAAAGATTAAATTATATGGAGTAACTAGTTTTTAAAGAAACAAATATACAAAGAGTACTGCTTAAGGTGCAAGGTTTGTGTACTTAACGTGCACCATTTTAAAACTTTTGGTGCGTGGTTTGTGTTCTTAAGGTGCTTTGTTTGTGTGCTTAAGGTGTATGGTTTGTGTATTTAAAGTGCGCAATTTTAATGTGTAAGGTGCGCCATTTTAATGCTTAAGGTGCTCAAATTTTTATTTTTTTCACATTATACCCTATTGTACATATTATTTGAATGAAAAATTTATTCCTATTAATTTTATATTTTAAAAGACATTTTTAATATAAATGCTATATTTGAATGGGAAAGAGAGAGAGAAAAAAAAAAACAAATTTAAAGAGAGAGGTAGACCATGAGAGAAGAAGATGATCGGACTAAAGAAACGACGATGAAGAGGAGAAGCTTTATCAGAATAGAAATGGCGACCTACCCTTGCAACGAATTTTGTTATGAGCTGAGAGGAAAGAAAAGAAACAGAGAGAAAAATGGGGAGGATGAAAGACAATTGCATGAAGTCTTCCAAAAGAAAATTGAAGTAAGGGGGAAACTTAATAATTTGGATAAAAGGACAAAGAATAGACATAAAATGGTAAAAAATTGCAAGAAGTATAAATGAAAGGTCTAAACCAACAATGCAGCAGAATTTACAACCTACTTTTTGACTTTTACTCTTCTACTTTATATTGTCAGAAGTTGAACGACGGAAAGCCAACAAGGGCAAAATAGAGAAATAATTTTCAAGGAACAACAAACTGCACAAAGTACAAAATATTTGATCGTAAAAAGTCTTAGGCAAAAATGAATTGAGCTTTTATATTATACATAGATACATAGATGTAGTCTTTTCTTATTTAAGTGATGGGAATCTTTTTTTCTTTATTCTTTTTTGAATGACAAGTAAAATTGTTAATCACTATTGAAGGGTGTGCATTCTTCTGTCACTATTTGAGGATGTTTCTCTTATTTCCTATATAATTAGAAGATAAAGTCAAGATAGAAGAAATGGAGCTTTAATATATATATATATATATATATATATATATATATATATATATATATATATATATATATATAATGGAGCATTTTAATTTGTTAAAGGAATTCTAGAAGGAAATAAAATTCTTAACAATGATTCTACTACAATGATAAATGTTCTTCTAGAAACTTATTGATCTAATATGGAATAATTTATGTATGTATAAATGTAAATAGAGCAAATATCAATTTTGGCCTACGAGTATTTTCAAAAGGACAGTTTTGGACCACATGTTTAATTCTTATCTATTTTTATCTATGACTATTGTTTTAGTACCAATTTTCATTCATAACTATTGTTTTAGTGCTAAAATTTATCACGCCAGTTATCCATCCGTTTAAGGCATGTCAAAATCTAAAAATTTTAAGGGTATTTTCATCCTTTTTAACTTAAGTTCCCAATTTGAGCATGAATAAATGGATTTAACCTCTAAGATCAATCTCAATTTGATGTTCTCCTCCTCGTCCTACCTTAATTTGAGGAGGAGAACTGTGAATTGAAATCGATCATAGGGCTTAAATCCCTTTATTCATGTTCAAATTGGGATCTTAATTTGAAAATGACAAAAATATCATTAATAATTTCATATTTTGGCACTAAAACAATAGTCGTGGATGAAAATTGCTACTAAAACAATAATCGTGGATGAAAATTGCTACTAAACAATAATCATTGGTGAAAAGTGTTATTTTGATAATACTCGTGTGATAAAAATTGGTATTTGCTCAGTGTAAATATCATTCCTAAAAAAAAAAAAAGTAAATATCATCTTAGAGATAGCAGTAGGTCCTTTGCATCTTAAGATTATTACTTTATCAGCTTTGGTGTTGAATTACTATCTCAATTTATTGATAGTATTTAAACTAATCATGTATTCTTTAATTATTATATATAGCTCAACTTAAAAATTTGTCGTTCTTATCATTTTTTTTATACATTAATTATTATATTCCACCTTAGGACGTCGAATTAATTCCAAGCACCAGAGCTTCTGCCCAAGAGTCGCAAAATATTGGAGGATAGCATTGACTTAGCTGTGTGGTAAAGCTGTTGAACAGCATAAGCAATGTCCGGCCTTCGCTATTAGCTACAATAGTTTTTCCACCAACCTTCTATAGCTACCGGCATTTTCAAGAGGTATACCATCACAATGCATTAACCGAGAACCAGTCTCATTCAAGATATCCTGAGTGCATTTGCGTTGGCATAGGTTCAAGCCAGACACGTCCAGTTTAGCCTCTATGCCCAAGAAGTTTCCTAAGGATCCTAGATCCTTAATTTTGAAAATATCAAAGAATGCTTTTAGTTATGTGATAAGACTTATTTGTCCACTTGCTACCAAGATATTATCAACGTATACTAGGAGGGCAATGAAATTTTCATCACTCCTTCCGGTAAATAATGATGGATCGGACTTGGACGGTTTAAAACCAAGACGAAGAAATGCAGTACTCAATTTTGCATTCCACGGTCGACCCCTAATTGTTGCGTGTAACCCTTCGCCACTAACCTCGCCACTTTCAACAATGCCATATGCTCTAAGCTTGACTTTATAACCCCACTTGCATCCTATGGGCGTTTTTCCAGGAGGTAAGTAAGTCAATTCCCAAGTATTGTTATCTTGAAGTGTAGTGATCTCAACGTCCATGACTTTCTTCCAACAATCATGTTTAATAGCCTGGTTATATGTCTGTGGTTCGTTAATAGCCATCACAACCATGAAGAAAGCTCTGTGTGATGGCACAAGGTTCTTATACGAAACCACTTTGAATAAAGAATGAGGTGAGGATCCATTTCTCATAACTGTATGTCACAGTAGTAATCCTGTAGCTTGCTGGGAGCCCTGCGATGTCTAGTTGTTTGCCAAGGTTGAATATCATGAACAAAGGGACCGGGTCAGAAACTTGTGTTTATCCTGTGTAATACTGTGAGCACCATCACGAGCAGACTCTGACAGAACATGATCACAAACACCATCAGAAAACCCATCGGCATGGTTATCAACAGAATCATGCAGCTCAAAATTATGCTCAACATAAGGCTGACCACTAACATGATTATGCATTCATAATGTATGGGTGGTACGTGACCAGTATGACAGGCAAAGGATCGGAGGATCGAACTGCTGTGACATTGTTTCAGCTCCACAATGATCTTTCTCAGCAAAAGGAATGTATTTCATAGAAAGTCACATCTCGTGATACAAAAGTAGAGTTATCATCTAAGTCATATAACAAGTAACCTTTAACATTAGCAGGTATTCCAACGAAAAGGCATCCTCTACTACGTGGTTCCATTTTGTTCCTTGACTAAGATAGGGTGGAAGCATAGCAAAGACACCTAAAAACCTTGAGGGCATTAAGATTGGGATCCCTTCCATATAATCTGCAATAATAGGGGTTAGACCATTCAAGCATAGGTGATGGAAGACGATTGATTATAAAGACAGCATGAAAAACACATTGCCCCCAAAATTCAAATGGAAGGTGAGCTTGAAATCGAAGAGCCCTAGCAACATTAAGAACGTGTTGATGCTTGCATTCCACCACCGCATTCTGTTGCGGTGTATCTACGCACGATTTTTGATGGACTATCCCTTTTTCAGCAAAGAACTCAGCCATGCTAAACTCTTGCCCATTGTCACTTCGTATTGTCTTGATGAGTATACCAAACTGTGTGAAAACATAATTGTGGAATCTCCTTATCAAGTCTCTAGCCTCACCCTTCGTCCTCATTAGAATAACCCATGTAAACCTTGAATAGTTATCTACCAAAGTCACGAAATAATGTTCTCCTCCCAATGAGTGTATTGGGAAGGGTCCCCAAATATATGTGTGCACTAATTCGAAACAAGCACTGGAACATGTAACACTTAAAGGGAAAGGAGTACGCTTATACTTAGTTAGATGACAAGTATCACATACTATGTTTCTGATGGGGAACATTGAAATATCATTCAAAAGATGGAGTTTATTGACTTTATTCATTGGAAAATGGCCCAAGCGTTGATGCCAAATTTTGGCACTTGTACATTGCGTTGCAAAATGTTTATGACACAAATCAGATTGCTTCGGTGGGTTCGTTAGCAGATATAGCCCTTTCTCTTCTTTAACAAAACCAATTGTCATACCATGCACTTCCTGAATCAAGCAGCAATCAGATGTGAAATTCAGTCTGTAAGAAGTATCCTGGAGTAGTTTGTGTACAAGTCCGAAGGAGGTAAATTGCAAGTCACTCCGTCAATCCTTAGGTTCTCACCTATGCATGTACCTTTGTGTACAAGGATTGAATTTTTTTTTTTTTTTTTTATCTTCTCTAATCGGTCAAAATCTCTCCATGACTCTCAGGTTATCAATATAATTTGAACTCCCATGCACCCGGTTGCGAGAGCGAAATTTTAAAGTGATTCTTAGCATATTAATGTTGTTAGAGAAAGTATATAAATTAGCAAAATTATTCAACTTATCAATTTGATAATATAGATGTCTTTATAACTACCTTAAAGGCTAAAACACAAACAATTTTTTCTTCCTTTGACATTAATAATAATAACATTAAAATATGAGTTTGTCAGAGTATTTGGATCAATTCTTCACATCAATATTTGACTTGAATTAAAGAAGGAAGAAATTGAAGGATGAACAAACCATCTAATCCTCATATACACACATTCAAATTAAAAGTCAACCAACAAAATAAGTTTAATTTATAGACTTTCAAGCATCGAGCTGCACTTATAATTTATTTGGATTATGTTTGTTGTGTGACATATTTTCATTATCACTTGCTAGAAAGTTAGTGTGCATATATTTTTTAAATTGTGGTGCGTTTTGTTCAAGTTATGTGCGCGATAACCTATCATATGTCATATGATCGTTTTTGGTGACAGATTGCATTGGAAATGATATTGCCATGTTTTATGTAGTTTTATTGTTTGACATATATTGCTAGTTTGTATATAACTATATACCAACAATTCATAATCACAAACAAAAGTAAAGTCATATCATATCACATATAGACACTTTATGATCGAAATATGAATCTACATACTCACTTGGCCGAATGACCAACTAACATAATTTCTTTGAGCATCAACATGAGAAAACTCAAGAAAAATGGCAAGGATGTTTCATACGATTATATTCCTACTATTTACCTCTTTAGAAGTTGACACTCGCAGTGACTCACTCTAGACGGCTAACATGGCCTGACAACAAGAGCACTAATGATAGATTGATAGGCACTCAAACCCAAGGGAAGACTCATGCCATCCAAGTCGTCGTCTATACACTCTTCTATATGGGATTCATCATATTCAGGCTCCTGGATTTTGAAGAGTAAGATTTTTGCAGGTTCTGCAAGCCATTTCAAGAACACGATGCATCTCTAGTCTAGAGCATGCATTCAGTAGCTCGATTACTGTTAAATCTTTCATTCGATACCCTATAGAATGCATGAAATGGATGTAATCAATCTCATGAAGAAGTTTTTAGAATTATATATACTCACACAGCTAAGGTCCAAGGAAAAACAACCAAATTAAACCTTCAATATATCTGTATAAGCTTGACTCTGGTGTAAGCCCAACTGCCAAGCCAGGATTGCATAATTACTTTGATTTATAAAAATAAAATAAAATAAAATATTTTTTTTAAAAAAAGTGGGATATAACTCTAGAAAATGTAAAAAAAAATACACAATTAAAAATTCAACACTTGTAAGTTGTATCGTATCACATATCATTTTCTAAAGTTATAGACTATGAGGCTGCCCAAGTCTTGTATGTGTATTCTGAGATTCATCATATTTGGGGTCCAAGATTTTGAACCCTTTCTTTAAAACCAAGATAACTGTAAAATCTTTGGTTTGGAGCCATTCAGGGTGCATAAGATTTATTTATAGTCAATTCTAATAAGACAAGTTTTCAAAATTATACTTAATTAGCCTGGCAAATCAATAACAATCTGGCAAAGACAGAACAAAATATGAAAATAGCCAAGCAATTCTTCTTACCTCTACATCTCCAATAACTTGAGAGCACTAGCAGCTTCCCAGTTTAGAAACTTTCCAGCAAGGCATTCAATTAGCACACCAATCTGCAAAAGCATATCAAAACAAAGAATGAATATAATCGCAGCAAAACAGACATGTAAAGTCATTTCATCATCCCGGTCGATCATATAGGCACCAGATGGCTCAACCTGCATGCATGCCATAACCACCAACATGATTTCTTTGAAAAACATTGACATTAGTTAACTACTCGAGCATACTGGCAAGGGTTTCACCAATGACAGTACATCACGTACAAATGACCAACACACATCTATTGATCTCCTTTACAATGTTCGGTGAGGATAAACTGACCATTATATTGTCCATTTGGCAGAGCTCTTGAGCCCATGTTTCTATACCATCTACTATCATATTTTGGAAACTCTGCAATAGCATCTTACTTTCACAAGGAACCCACAACTCTCAATTATGTGAGATTGAGGAAGTTTACCCTTCATGCCCTGCAAATGATCGAGAAACATTTGTCTCTCAAAGACTCAAAGAATATCAAATGCATTTTTTGAAAAAGAAATCAGAAAACCAGTCATGTTTTATAATAGATCAAATACTATATTTTGCAGTAGTTAACTAAACTGTGATCTTGGCCAAGTCATCACTACATCTATATCTATAACTTTGCAGATATGATATTAAGCTAAGGTATCACATAAAACTCCTTACCTTTTTTGATATCTTTGATTTCTTAAACAACACTTACATAAATGCTGCATCATCATTATTATATTTCAGGCTGCAAGGCAAGATGGCTGTTTCTTTCATTTATCCTAGGTGATATTTTCCAAATAGAAGTAGTAATCCGATTTGATCTTTGAATTATTAGAATATAATTAGTAGTTTATTAATATAGCTAGATTTGGGATACACATTCTCATCAGATGGAAATCAACCTCCTATATTTGCAGCCTGCAAGAAGATGTGGTTAAAAATATAGATCAGAGCACTTAACTTCTAACATATCTTAACCTGATGCCTATGGACTATGACACATGGAAATAGATACATGAAGACAGTGGTACTAATCGCTTAAAGAAAAAAAACATTTCCAGCAGTAATGTAAACAACTCCCCCAACTTTTTTTTGAGTACTACTAACTCTGTTACAATGCAGTATATGTTCATAACTACTTTCTCAACCTACTGAAGCACAAAGAGTCAATATCGCCTCCACTGAGGCTTGAACCACAACCTCCCATATGGGAGAGAAACTCCCCTACTCTATTTGCAGTAATGTGAACAACTCCCCCCTACTTTATTTCCATAGTTAACTTGAGCATACTGGCAAAACATCAACATTAGTATCACATGAAACTCCTCTTTGAAAATCCACATCTTTTATTTCTAAAATATCAGTAATTTGTATACCCTCTACTCAAATTTTATTTTACTTCTTGATTTTATTTTGTTCTAACAAAAAGTCGGATGTTTGTTTTTAGTGAACATCAATTTTTTAACATGTATTGTGCATGAGCCCTTCCTGTATGTAACAGATCCACATTCATCTTAAGTCTTAACAAAAGAAAGAAATTTCAGTATATTTTTCTCCAAGTTGCTGGAAAACCTTTTCAATTTTGCTTCGACAAATTTCATAGATTCCTACCAATCTTTTCCTTTACTCCTCACTACTCTGTTTTTGTCACGCCCCACTTCTAGGACATGACCCGGCCGTATCGTTACGTGAAGACTTGTAACAATAAGCAGCCTAACCATACATACCTCTCGGAACCTTCATAATAACACTTGAATACATGATAATTCCACAGTTAAAATGGCAAAATATAATCAACTATTTCTTCCCAAAAACTCATCAAATCTACTATTAAAGATTTACAATCAAGAGTAGTATGTCCAAAATGCATCACAAGCACCGAAACCAAGCACAATGGTTTACCAAAAATACAAAGGGTCAAAGAGAATATCCAAATAAACAAAAGTCCGTGATAAGGTCCAATACTAAGACTAAGTCTCCTAGTTTCACGAGTCACCTTCAAGGCCCCACCACTTGTGCTCGTGCTATTCACATGTCCTTAACTACTCTGAAACATGAGGAAAAATTATACAAATAATGAGCTAATGCCCAGTAAGTGGTACTCCTCTCAACCCCGGATCAAGTAACCCCCAATAGAGTACAAATTAAAAAGCTTTAGAGTAATAAATAGATGCAAAACTCAATCCTTAAACTTTATCGAAGTCATAATACTTTCATCATACTATACACAAGTTCCCAAAACAGAAAACTTTAGCTACATGGGCATCAACATTATTTCATAACACAATACTTTCAAAAGCACCAATCATTCATTAACATATGACTCATTGGCAACCTACAACCACCATTATCGGCATAATGGTTCAAAAAGACTCGACAATTCGGAATGAGTCAGGCTCGACGATTCAGAATGAGCCGGATGGAACGTTCCAACAAATAATTCAAAAGACTCGACGATTAGGAATGAGTCAAGCTCGACGATTCGGAATGAGCAATTAGGAACGTTCGAAGCCAAACAAAACAAACAACAAAATGTAGGTTGCCTCATGAGTTTGGTCAAACCTTCAAAATAATTCTTATAATCAAATAGCCCATTGTAGCAAAAATCAATTCCTTAAAGATCACATAACAAAGTACATATCCAAAAGTAATATTATGAAATCATAAACTAATAATTGTCAAATAAATTATATGATCCTCTTTTAGAGCAAAACATGTTAGTACAAATCATACACATAGGAATATAGTCATGTTCACTTATTCACAGAATCCAAACTTAGGCATGCCCAAAGATATCTTTAGTCAAGTTTAATAGTCCAAAAACATATCATAGTCCAAAATACTTTTAACTCATACTAACCCTTAAATGGGCATTCAAAGTAGTAGAGATTCTAAAATAGTTTATGGGTTTTGCAAAATAAGGAGAGAAGAGTTAACCACTTACCTAAAAACATCCAAATCTTAGCTGTTAAACTCGCCCAAATACTCCTTGTCAAAATCCCTAATATTTTCAAACATTAATCTTAGGGCTCAAATGATAAACCCAACTCAAAAAGAGTGAAAAAATGGAGATCAAACTCACCTAGAATACTCCCAATAACTTGAGACCTAAAGTTGAAGAAGATGGAGATCAAAGCTTCAAGATTTTTCCTTCCCTTATCTCTCTAGTCAACTCTCCTTATCTTCTTTTAAAAGAGATCTTTCTCCAAGACCAAGGGATTCCTTAATCTTTAAGAGTAGAGAAGGGTAATTTAATAATTTTATCTAATATCAAATTTTAATAAGCTTTGACTTGTTGACCTCATTTACTAAACATATATATATATATATTATTTATAAGGTTGTGGGTATTACAGTTTTACAAGGGGGGAAAAAAGCAAGAAAGATATCATCATCATCGCAAAATTAAACCTTTAACTGCATTGTAATAAACCATTTATCACTACCATTTAAGTGGTTAGTTAACCCCTCAAATTTTTTGCATTATAAAAGTGGAGTTGTTAGCAATCAAAGAGGTGTGAGTTTTGGGAGATTATTTCATATTGTAATTGTAAAACGAGCGCTCAGTTAAAATAAAATGGTTACATATCACCTAAAGACTGACTTCAAGATTTTGAGCCCTTTCTTTAAAACCAAGATCACTGTCAAATCTTTGCTTTGAAGCCATACAGGACGCATTAGTTGGAGGTTATATATAGCCAATTCTAATAGGAGAAGTTTTCAAAATTATACTTAATTAGCCTTGCAAATCAAATATCAATCAGATGAGACAAAACAAAATAACCAAGCAATTCCTCTTACCTCTGAACTCCAATAGCTTGAGCACAACCAGCTTCCAAATTTAGAAATTTTTCTGCAACATATTCAATGACCACACCAATCTGCAAAAGCATATCAAAACCAAGAATGAATATATTTGCAAAACAGAAAATAAACAGAGATGTAAAGTCATCTCATCATCTCATATAGGCAATAGATGAATAAACCTCCATGCCACAGCCACCAACATATACGATTCCTTTGAGAAACATCAACATTAATTAACTCAAGCACACTGGCAAGGGTTTCACGGATGACAGTACATCTTCACAAGGAACGCACAACTGACAAGTATCTGGGATTAAGGAAATTTATCCTTAATGCCCTGCAAATGTGAAAAAATTGTCTGTCAAATAATATAAAATGCCTTTTTTTGAAAAAGAAGACAGAAAACTAGTCATGTTAGAATATAACAAATAGTATGTAGGAATTAATTGGCAGATATGTATCATACCATTTTTCTAATAACAGTTAGCTCACTGTGATCTCGGCCAAGTCATCTTCTTCTTGTGGATATTGTGATTCCTCATATTCAGACCCGTCAATTTTGATCTATGGAAAAATATTGGAAATGAAATGATGTCAGAAAAAGAAATAGTAACAGCTTTTGTAAAGAATGTAAAAGAAAATTTAAAAAAATTATGAATAAAGCATGATATAGCTTCTAACCTTTAACTTTCTTCTTCGCATTGGAAGCAGTCCTTCTAGAATCTGCTTGGCAGCAGCGACTACAAAAGGGCTGCACTGTTTCAACTCAATTGACCGCAGCGTGAAAATATGTGCAAAACTCTGAGGGATCTCTTCCAGGCAATAACAGAATTTTAGACATAATCGCTGGAGATGTGGGAAGGAATATTCATTAGCCTTCAACTGCTCCAGGTTTTTAGCTTCAAGAAGCAAGAATTCTAACTGACAGAATCCTCCTTCTGATACTTCCCATACTTTTCCATGGAAGGAATTTTCTAGCTTGAGCATAGTAAGCCGGGGAAACATGCCAATTATATTTAAATGCCTCTCAGAGAGATTAAGCCCAGTCAACCTCAACTCCTTCAGTAACAAAGGAAACATATAATACGAATACTGAAGGGTTACAGTGCAGTCAATAGCAACTGAAATCGTTAACTTCTCAAGCCCTTCCAAATACTCAAGATTATCCAAAATGATGGGATTACTGCAAGATCCGCAAGTGCAGTTGAGCTCTAATTTATCTTTAAGGAAAATCTTCAGTGCTTTTAATCTTGGAAGCTTGTTATAGTAGTTATAAATTTCCGTTTGGCAATAGGTTGGACTTACCCAAGATAATGTTTGAAAACTCTTCTTCTCAACGCTTGGGGGATCTACTGTATAGGAATTGCCAAGTTCAAGATGCCTCAACTGTGGCGACTCCCAAATTTTGGATGGCAAACGGACAGTAGCTTGTAATTCATTACCAGAAACAACAAGAGTCTGCAAATTACTGTTAATTGACACTATATAATCCAGACCTTCAAACCATTGTGCTACAGATATGTATCTCAAAAAAATGAAATCCCCAAAATGCATTTGCATTCTTCGGAAGAATGGAGGTGGAACAGAAGCCAAAACTCTTAACAGCTTGAGAGGTACAGAAATTTCAGGATTTTCATGAAAGAAGAAAATGGAGCGAGAGTTAATTGTATCAAACAATACATAATAGTCAAAACTATGTGTGTATAAACTCAACCAACGGCATGAATTTGCAAATGCATTTAATGAAACTCCTGGAAATTGCATAGTATTTACTGCACATAAAATACCTCCTTTTTGAGCTTCTCCTACACAGAAAGTATGCATGCTACCATGCATCTTACAAGTCTTAATTTTGCCATTTGAGCTCCGGCTGCTAATTAAGACAAGACTTCTATCAACAAGCTCTTGTAAATACTCATAAGCTACATTTTCCAACTCTTTATGCTCCAAAGGCTCTACAAATCCCTCAGCAACCCACAATCTAATAAGCGTTTTAACTGAGATTTCACTGCGTTTTGGAAAGACTCCAAAATATAGAAAGCAAACATTCACATATTTTGGCAATTGATTGTATATGCGAGCAAGTACACTACGATCTAGAACTCCCAGCAACTCTAATTCCTTTTCAATCTTCTTCCATTCTTGTTGTATGTTGTTGCATTTTGATAAACGCTTTGCAACTTCAACAATTAATTGTGGTAATCCTTCACATATCTCCAAAACCTCACTCCTAATTTTTTCAAATTTAGGTGCCATAGATTCTTTGGGAGAAAGGATATTGCAGAATAGATCCCAACTTTCCTTTGGATCCAGAAAAGCCAAGTTATGCTTAAGAAAAGTTATACCAGCATAGCTTTTCTGATTGAAGTGCGTCGTGGTTATTAATATGCGACTTCTGCCACCACGACGAGGTAAACATTTTTCGATGTGTCTCCAAGCTGAATTGTCCCATAAGTTATCCAAAACAATTAGATACCTCTCACTATCTAATCGTTGATATAGTCTCCCACTTAAGGAACGACTACTTTCAACTGGCTCAGGCTCTACTCCGGAAATTGACGACAAAAGATCCCGTAGTGTTTGATCCACATGCTGGTATTCTTGAGGTAAAGTAATCCAAGCTCGTACTTGGAAATGCGATGCAACTGAGGGATGATTGTAGATACTTCTGGCTAAACAAGTCTTTCCAATACCCATCATCCCAACAATTGCAATTACTCTTAGTCCATCATATTTTTCGAAGAGGAAGTTGTTTATCACTGTACGATCACGGTGACGCCCGACCATTATTCTGCCCTCAAAGCACTGTGACTGTGAGGATCCACTCAACATAACATTCTCAGGCCCAACCATCTTCACCTCATCACCTTCTTCATTCAGCATCTCCAGCAACTCTGCTGCATTTTTTGCAGCTTCTAGCAAGGTTTGATGGAGCTCGTCAGAAGCTTTTTGTGGATGCCCTCCATCTTTGGCCACAAGATAGTTGCTGATTTGTATTTCAATGTGGTCTTCAGCTTTGAGCGCAAAGTCTCTAATTTTGATTTCCAAATCATTGATTTTAGCACCACCACCACGCTTGAATTTCTCAAGAAAGGCCTGCAAAGAACAAAGCTTTTTATGGAGCATTTCTACTTGACCCTTCAGCAGACAACACATCAACCCACTTTCATCTTCATCAAGAGATACCCTTGACCTTGGCCTTGGGGTGGACTGCAAAAACTCAAGCTCAAGTGTTGACATGAGAGAAGTTAAAGCAACAATGGCCATCTCTCTAGAGTCTAGGTTAACTCACTCAACCTCAACTATTTTTTCTGTGTTTGTTTGAGAAGAGAAGAGAAAATGCCAGTTCCAGAGGGGTATTCATTCATTGTAGTAAATTTTTTATTGAAAAAAATGGTTTTTTTTTTAAAAAAAAAAAATTAAATTGTATGTTTATAGTAATTTTTTTATATAAATTATTCATGTATCTACATTAATTTTTAATTATTTTGAAAGTAATAATTTTTCCTCTTTCTGTTAAGTGTATATATTTTTTCTTTAAAAATAAAGGTAAAACATGAATTTCATTTTTTTTTCCTAACAAATTATTGTTTATACGTGAGCAAACATCTTTTTGGAAATATTGTAATTATATTTTTAAATTAATGCTACTAACATTAATACCAACTAGCCAAATCGTTCGTCCTTAGCTGTTGACTTGTCATATCAATCGATATCGCGATTCATGCGAATACCAACTAGCCAACTACATTCACGATTCATCCCAAGTCGTTCACCCCAGTCCTTCGACCTGCCAATCTGCCATATAGGCCGCGACTCATTCTAAGTCCTCACCCCACCCCACACCCGTGTTGTCCACCCCTCACATCACCCAACAAGTCCAAACAATGTTCGAACTTGTCACTAGTAAGTGCTAGAACATCACCTTCACTATAATCTGAGTTATAGAAGCTGAAATTGGACCTTTGACCATCTACTTGGATAGATAATCCGGATGCCATCACACTACATGGTAGTTGGCAGATATGATGTTATCTAGTTGAAGGCATTAATATGATGCACCAAATCTAAACCCCTGAACCTTACCATAAAGCTTTTGCTTAAATACAGTTTGTTCGTTATATGCCCTTATTTGTACAATAATCATAAGAATCATCAAAATGCGATACAACTGATCAATCTTCATACAACCCTTGCTAGAGTAGTTTTCCGATACCCACAATTTCTACAACTTAGCTTTATATTTTTGTTGCAATTTGCAAGAAAAGAGTCTGAGTTAGCTTTAGCTTTCTCAAACACTTTCATTCAAAAGACTTTTCGAATCTACGACCAATCTATTTGGAATAGTAACGGAATGCTATCACACTACATGGTAATCGATATGATCTACATAAATATATAATTGTCAGGTTAGGGAGAGACAGGAGAGTGAGGAGACTATTTATTTTATTTTAAGAAAAAGTGTACATTTTATTTCTAAATTAGAGTTTTTTCCACTTTTGGTCCTATGACTTTAGGGTCTCCGTCAACTTAGGTTCATAACTTATATTCCTGACATAAGTAGTGCTTGACTTTGATTTTTTTTTCCAATTTTAGTCCTTCCGGCCACCTGAGCGGCCAGTTCCGATCGAATTAATAAATTGTCCTGTATATTTAAATTTTAGAAGGGTAAATAAGTCTTTCACTATCCATAAAAAAATTAAAATTAATGAATTGTCTTAACCCATCCGCTGCTTCGTCGTCAACAACAAGACTCTTCATAGAAACGCAGCCCCCTCCACTGTAAGCAACAAAACCACTACAAACCCTAACTCAAATCAAGCCAAAATTCCTTCTTAATCAGCAACGCCGGAACGAAATCTATGAAGAAACACCAAGTATAATATTGGCTTCACTGGCATGGCTTCACAAATAGTTGCATCTTCTTCGAACATGACGGCATACGGTATGATCACAGAGTCAATGATAAAATTTTGAATTTTTAGTTATGTGGGTGGGGGGAGGGGGGGGGGGGGGGGCGTTGTATGAATAGGGTAGTAGTTTAGGAGAGATAAGGGTAGCAGTTTATATATTGCTTGTCTATGATTTGTATGAGCTAATTTGTCTATTTTATTCAATTTATTGTTGTGTATTTTTGTAGGGACCAAATATGAAATACTTGATCTCTTTTTTATGTATTTGGTATTTAGTGAGACATTACTTTATTTGAAGTGTTTGTCAGTTCTTTTGCATTTCTGTGGGGACCATTATTAGTGCCAATAGAAATGAATTGTTCCAAACAATGCGTTCCTTAGACAGTAAAAAGTATTAACATTGAATAATGAAAAATTCCTAGCAGATGAGAACATATAGTCAAAATATTTTTTGGTTTGCAATTGTTACTTTCCTCAAAGCAGAAGTGTTACTTTCCTCTTTTATTTTTTGCTTAGCAATTGTTATCTCTCAAATATTTTCTGCTTTGTTGACCGGCTTGCATGCAGAACACCATTGTGATGCTACTATAAGTAAATGCAATTTTCATTCCAAGTGTTGAACGTATATTTGTCTTTGAAGGTGAAAATGCAGGACCTAATAGCAGTGAGAGTGATTGGAACTATGAAGAGGAGTTTGATAACAATGAAACTAGGGATGACATGGATTTTGAGACTCATGTAGACCCATTACTTGACATTGGTGGGGTTAATGATACTTTATATAATTCATTTGAACCAAACCTTTCCGATGATGCCTCTGTTGTGGAGTCAGACAGTGATGGTCAGATATCGGGCAGTTTGTGGACTAGTTTTAGGCCAAGTAGAGATATGAATAACCCACATTTCACTCTAGGTATGACATTTGCCTCTAAGCAAGAATTCAAGGATGCATTGCAAAACTATGCAATTAAAAATGGTAAAGATCTTAAAGTTGTGAAGAATGATAAAGAGAGATTCATTGTAGAATGCAAAACTGATGGATGTCCTTTTAGAATAAGTCTTAGAAAAGTGATTAACTCTTTGTCATGGAGGATTTTAAAGATGCAGGAAAATCATGAAGGTTGTTCATGGGCCTTTGATAATGGGATGTTGAACTCATCTAAGGTAGCTAAGAGATGCTGTAATGAGATTAAATTTCATCAAGACTGGAAGATGCTCAAGTTTAAAGAGAAAGTGCACAATGATGACAAGTTTAATATGAGCGAAAGGCAAACTTATAGAGTGCTAGCCAAAGCAAAACAAATGATTCAAGGAAATGAAGAAGAGAACTTTAATAAGATTTGGAATTATGTGTTAGAAATTGAAAGAACAAATCCAATGTCCAAATATTCAGTTAAGATGAGTGAATTACAAGAATTGAATGGGGATGAAAGATTTCTAAGGTTCTACATGTGTTGGGATGCATGCAAGAAGGGCTTCAAGTATTGTAGGCCAATTATTGGAGTTGATGGCACTCACTTGAAGAATTTAACAGGAGGTGTGTTGTTAACTGCAATTGGAATAGATTCCAATGATCGCATTTTCCCTTTATGTTATGCCATAGTTGAGAAGGAAACAAAACAATCATGGATTTGGTTTTTTAAATTGTTGAAAAGGGATTTGGAGATTTCAGATGATTTTGAGCATCAATTTACTCTAATTTCTGACAAACAGAAGGGGATAATTGCAGCACATGAAGATGTTATACCAAGAATGGAACACAGATTTTGTGTTAGACATCTCTATGGGAATATGAAAGTAGCAGGCTTCCAAGGTAAGTCTATTAAAGATGCATTGTGGAGATGTGCTAGAGCATATACTGTTTCTGAGTTTACTGCAGCTTTTAGAGCTTTGAAGGAGTTAGATGTTAATGCATTTGAGTGGTTAGTTGATAAACATCCCAGAGAATGGTCGCGATCACACTTCTCATGTCACTCACATAGTGATATGTTGGTAAATAATATTTGTGAATGTTTTAATAGTGCCATATCTGAAGCAAGACAACAACCAATTATTGGATGCCTAGAATCAATGAGGCAAATGTTAATGAAAAAAATGTATAACTGTAGGGAGACTGGCAAGGCATGGATTACTAGTATTTGTCCTAGGATTTTAGATAAGTTAGCTGTGATTGAGAATCAAGCTGCAAGTTGCATTGCTACCCAATGTGATTACCATATCTTTGAAGTTAAAGGAATGTATAGGGATCAACAAGAGGTTAACTTGGAGAGAAAAAGTTGTTCGATCGGAACTCACTGCTCAGATGACCGGAAGGACTAAAAATGGAAAAAAAATCAAAGTCAAGCACTACTTATGTCAGGAATAAAAGTTGTGAACCTAAGTTGACGGAGACACTAAAGTCATAGGACCAAAAGTGGAAAAAACTCTTCTAAATTATACAATAGTTGTAGGATTCGATTCGTCTCTTATTGTATGTTAAGCATGTTCACTTTTTGTCTGATCTCAGCCTTAAGCTATTATTGAAGTTGTACATTTCGTTCATTTTCTAGTGCGATTTATTTCGCTGGTATATCATAAATTATATCGCGGAATTAAGTTCACCATGTGTATTATGAACTCTAATCCATATTATGTATTTACCATTAGCATATTGTGTATATTCAGTTAACAAATTATGTACCTGTAAATAAATTGAATGTACATAATATGTTAACTACAACATATTAATAATCTGTTAACTGAAGTTGCATAATATGTTAACTACATATACATCATCTGAAAAGGGTACATAATGCGCATGGTGTAGACCCTGCTCCACGAAATAACGGTTGCTTATGTGGTTTGCACTTTGCAGACTATTATAAAAGAGCAAGATATACCCCATGTATATCCTTGAGTAATGACTTTAAATTTCTTATCATGCCAAAGATCTTGTGGCGGCATGAAGTTGTTGGAAAATTTCAAAGGGAAATGAAGGGGTGGATAGCGCATCATGCGCTATTAATGTGAAACAGCGCATATTGCGCTTATTTGTGGATGATATGCGTCCTTCCTTTTGTGGAAGGGATGGGGAGGCTGCTTACTATAAATAGCAGCTCCCAACATCGTTTCAAAACACACCTTGAATTCGAGTCATTTATTCGATTCTCCTTCTCCCTCCCGTCGTCTGAGCAATAGTGAGGTTCGCCTACGCGATTGCTAATGCAAGCTATCCGTAGTAGGTCTGTGTAGCCGGTCGAAAGCGTGCCAGGGTTCTAACTGCACCGTTACCGGGCAAATAACGCTTTTAAGGTAGTGTTATTATAACACGGCACAGATTTTCTTTCTACCATACATCCGTAGTGTCCGTGCGTCTTAAAAGGCTTCCAGATCGCGCGTTGGCGTTGCAATTTTCCCCAACAGTTAAAAGCGTTAATTTGCAACAGTCAACCTTTAGCATTATGACACCTTCTGTCATACCGGATCTATCAAAGATCACCGCGCTTGATGGGAGAAATTACAACAGATGGGCTCAAAGAATGCTTATTCTTTTTGAACAATTAAAGTTGGTTTACGTGCTATTTTCAGTTGCACCTGAACCTACTCCAACAGTGTTCTCTCCGTTTGGTGCTACAAAATGTAATCATGAACCTGATTACACTCCGGGTAAAGAATCGAGAGAAAGCAGTCCTGAAATAGATTACATTCCGGGTCAAGAACCGGGTGTAACTCTGACTCAATTCAGAAATGACAATGCGGCAGCCAGAGGATACCTACTGTCACAAATGAATGACGAATTGTTCGACATCTATGTCAAACAAGATTCGGCAAAAGTCATTTGGGAATCACTGTCAGAAAAGTACGGTGCCAATGGAAATGAAAATCAAAGTGTCAGAACCGTCTACAACGAAAGGAGTAGAAAAATCAAGAAGTTTAAAGGAAGGTGTTTTGCGTGCAGAAAGCAAGGACACCGAGCACACCAGTGCTACCATCACAAGGGCAAAACCAGCAAAAGTCAATCTGACAGAACAAGATGAGTATTGAGTCTCTTTAAATAAATAGTTATTTTGAGTAACTATTTTTGCTCTGGTTCTAAGGGTTCGCATGAAGTATGGTTATCTTAGTACTGAATTCTAGTTGAGCAGTCTAGATTTTGATTACTTAGTAGTACTTATTTCTTTAGTGTTTTGAATACTAATGACATTGATTGAAATAATTCGTGCATAGATATTGCTCAAATCTTTTACCAAAATTATTTGTATAAAAATAAGAGCATATATCATAGGCTTCAATTGTAATTTAGTGAGAACATAGAAAAGTCATCATTCTTGAACACTCTGTCTAGGAAGATGGTTTTTAAGTAAACTTCGGTTTCACCACTCGACCTGGGAGTTTTTAAGAAGTAGGGTGTTGATCATGCAGGCTAGTTAGAGCGCCACTTGATCTTTACCTGAAATGAGGTTGACTTTCATATGTTGCTAATACAATCAAAGCCTTGCAATAGAAGTTGTTGAAGTACTGCAATAGTAATATTGATCTGCATCCTATGAATGCTTTATATGAGTTTTAAAATTCCTTAAGGGAAGGAAAATTGTGCTAGTGGCAACTCTGAAGTCTCATTGTTGAGAGATATTCCGAATAAATATGAACTTAAACATATTCTTTTTGTATGAGATTAATTTCTTATAAGAATATGATGTGAATTTTGTGATTATGTTGTTCAACTTGATGTAGCATGTGGACAACATTATTTCTATAGCTTACTAACAATGAGCACTTGTATATATATTATTTAAACTCTTGGTTGAGTCATATTGAAATACCTATAATTCCTAGTTAAAGGGTAATTGTGATCAATTGAGATAACCAAGTTTGTTGAAATATATTCAACTGTTGAGCATGTATCAGGCAGAGTGCAAAACTGCTATAATGGTTCACAAAGTAAGTCGGCAAAACTCAGTCTACAAAGGAGCTAAAGTTGGGCACCAAATATCAGTCTGGGTAAGAGATCAAATACGTTTGACAAAATTATTTGTAAGTGTTGCTTGTGGGGGTAATAAACTCCTTATATTTTCATCAAAAGTTTCTCTGTGGTATTGAGAATAATGATGAAAGAGAATGTTTCATGTTAAACATGAAAATCTCAAGGGATTATTTACGAGTAAACGAAGTACTCGTCAAAATGCATGTAAGTTTGGTCAAAAGAATCAACTTACTTGAGGGCTAATTATGAGGATTAGTCGTTGACTCATTGGAAGGACTTGAAGTCCAAGTGGTAATGAATTCGTGGTGAATCCCACTTCTGTGGTCAAACGAAGCCATGAAAAGAGTTACAAAATAGTACACTAGTTGGTCATTCCGACAGTGTGTGTACTTGTGAGGTTGAGCTACAGCTCTTAATGAATTCATAACTCTTTGAGAAAGGGTGGTTTTGTTGAGACAAACCTAATGAATTCACCGCATAATGACATGAGTACAAAGTGCTCTTGGTGCCTTATACTCAATTGGGATGGTCTATGTTGAGATAGACCTAAAGAGATCCCTAACTTGATTGGAAAAGGGCTACCATGGTCTATGTTGAGATAGACCTAAAGAGATCCCTAACTTGAGTAGAAAAGGGCTAACCGCCTCTTATGAAAGATAATGGGGTTATCCCAAGAAGCTGAGTGGCTAAGAAACATGGTGATAACCGTGTAGTTGTGGGAGTGTCCAACACCTTCACCACATTGTGATTCACAAACTGTCATTTGTGTTGCGCAAAACGATGTCTACAATGGGAAACGTAGACACATAAGAGTCAGACATGAGTCTGTACGGCAGCTAATAATAAATGGGGTAATCACAATGGTTTTTGTGAGATCTGAAAGGAAAATTGCAAATCATTTCACAAAGGGCCTAAACAGAAAGGCCGTCCTTGACACATCAAGGGAAATGGGTTTGGGACCCATAAATACTCTGTAGCCGATCATGGTGGTCTGCGATGAGGTAGACTTGACAGAGTTGAAGGTCTATCCTAGAATAGACCTAACAGGGGATATCTCAGGGTCGTGAGTATGACCTCATGAGATTCAAGGCGACCAAAGCAAATTAAGTGCGTTGAGTTCAAACTTTGTCTATTCGATGAGTTCAAGATCAAATTCACTCCCGTCTAGAGAAGTACTCAATGTCACTATATGACAGTTCAAGTTTTATACACTGGCATGAAAATTTGTTTTGATCGTTATCAGGCAATGACAGCGTCAGCCTAAATCCCTTCAATGGTGGGGGGATTGTTAGGAGCATTTAAAAGTCTGTTTTGTGATAGACTTTGACAGGGTAGAAGTCCATATTTGAGACAGACGTAACATTCTTTAATACTAAGGGTGTTCATAAGAAGTCAAAGAGTTTGACTTTTGTATAACCTGCTTTTTGAGTTGGTGTGTGCATTCGAGTTCAAAATTTATCTACCCGCTGAGCTCAAGATTAACATCACTCCCGGGAAGAAGATTACTCAGTGTCACTAGGATCAACTCATTTGTATTGCTCAGATCTTACTCTTTTTTTCCCCTTTAAATTTGTGGGGGATTGTTGGAAAATTTCAAAGGGAAATGAAGGGGTGGATAGCGCATCATGCGCTATTAATGTGAAACAGCGCATATTGCGCTTATTTGTGGATGATATGCGTCCTTCCTTTTGTCGAAGGGATGGGGGGGCTGCTTACTATAAATAGCAGCTCCCAACATCGTTTCAAAACACACCTTGAATTCGAGTCATTTATTTGATTCTCTTTCTCCCTCCCGTCGTCTAAGCAATAGTGAGGTTCGCCTACGCGATTGCTAGTGCAAGCTATCCGTAGTAGGTCTGTGTAGCCGGTCGAAAGCGTGCCAGGGTTCTAACTGCACCGTTACCGGGCAAATAACGCTTTTAAGGTAGTGTTATTATAACACAGCACAGATTTTCTTTCTACCACACATCCGTAGTGTCCGTGCGTCTTAAAAGGCTTCCAGATCGCGCGTTGGCGTTGCAATTTTCCCCAACAGAAGTGACTCTCAAAAATGGGGGATCATGTGTTCAAGCTTCAATGGGGGCGGTGTTTACTCGTTGGGCTTATATGAACAGATACCACATGTAATAGGGGTTTTTTGTGCAAGGGTAACACAAACTCATGCAATTAGACACAAAATGACCTGTTTACCTGAAATTGTACTGATATGGCGGTTACCAATTTTAAATAAAATAACTAATTAAAATTATTTTTTTTAAAAAAATTAGAACTGCCGGAGACGAAGAGATGGTCTCCAGCCATGGAGATGAAAGTGGCTGGAGATGAAGGTCTTTGTCTCTGGCTATGGAGACGAAGCCTGCCGGGAGACGAATCGTCTCTGGCCGTTCTAGTTTTTTTTTTTTTTTTTTTTTTTTTTTTTTTTTTTTTTTTTTTTTAAATTTAATTCATTTTTTATTTAAAATTATTTTTAAAATCGTTAACCGCCACGTTAGCATAATTTGTGGTAAACATGTCATTTTGAGTCTAATTGCATGAGTTTGTGTTATTCAGAGATCTAATTGCTTTTTATTTTTTTGAATTCGATAACCTAATTGCAGTTTAGTGTGTAGTTGAGTGATAGATCCAGGGACGGAGGCAAGTGCATGCTTAGGGGGGCTTTGGCCCCCTCCCCCACCCTAAATTTTTTTAATGTTATATATGTATTAATTTTTTTAAAAAAAATATTATATAGAATTTTAAATTTTGTTATTTTTTCAAAATATTTGGCCCCCCTCCACTTAATTAATCTTACAAGTAAAGTTATAAATTTCTTCATCTTCTCAACTTTTTCAATTATCTCCTATTTCAAATTATGTATTTTCTATGTTGTTGACTCACATTCAAATTAAAACTCATTTAACCTACTTACTAGTTTCTCTCTAGAACCATGCATATATGCGGCATATAAGTTATAATAAGATAATTTGTCATTAACAAAATCTATGCATATTTTTCAAGTTAATTTTTGTTTTTGTTTTTTTTGTTTCTAACTAGTTGTTTGGTTAATTTTTGTTTCATATTCTATTGTTTATCTTAAATAATTGTTTTGTTTGATTCTAAATCATGGATATCAAGGTGCATTTGTTTGGTTAATTATGTAAATTTGTGGTTGTGTGATAAATTTTGTATTTAATTTAAAATGCATAATAATTTAACAATTATGTAGTATATATATGTATTTGAGAAAACAATTGCTATTATGTTATGTTGTGAAGAGGGTTTTTCAAGAAATAATCAATAGTCTTTTAAAACATACGTGAATGTTTTCATTCTTTCAACCGTACAAAGCAATATGCATTGAAAAGCATATTGCAAAATAATTTAATATAGATTCAATTATAAATGATTTATTCTAAACTTTATTGAATTTGTAATGTAATGATTATTTTGAGATATGTTAACGGGATATCAATGTATTTGATTTAGTACTTCAATCGTAGTTGGCCCCTGCACTATTTCGTCCTGGCTCCGTCCCTGGATAAATCCCTTGTGTGCATCGACATTTGGCCATGTGGCCATTGAGTCACCGTAATTTATATCTTCCCAAATATTTTGTTGGATCAAAATATAAAGGACAATGATTGAGAATTCAACATTTTGAGTGAAGAGTTGTACGTTCTCCAATTTTATACTCCGTCAAACTTTATTGAAATGTCATAATGGTACACTTCATATTCATATTCTAATGGTAAATTAAATGAGACATCCAAACAACTCCAAATTTATTTTATTATATATTACTAACAATTTCAAATTTGTAGTATGCATTGACATCATCATCAACACAAGGGAATACGAATACATTATTCACTTTTTTTTTTTTTTAATACAATTATGCCTCAATATGGCCAACTTGTAAAATAAAAAACTTCAAAAATTCCTAATTGGAGATTCGAAAGGTTCGAAAGGCTAACTACCGGCAAGTAAGACAATTTGACAATTAATGTTGGCAGGCTAAATTAAAATAAATAATAATTTAACACCGAAAGCTTTTTTTGAATGCTATCAACTCTATTACAATGTAATATTTGTTTATAATTACTTTTTGAACCTATTGAAACACAAAGAGTCAATAACACTTTTATTGAGAGCTTAATATCATTTGTGTTGATCAAAATATTAGCTATCACATGAATTCGTTACATGATATCTTAATATCATTTGTGTTGGTATAGCAAATATAAAGCTAATTAAAACTTGATTCAAAATGTCATAATAGTCAATGGGAGGTAACTTTAGACCAAATATTGCTCACTAATTTAAACAAAATTATTATTTAAAAAAATGCAAAACCTGCCTTCATATTAAAAAATTGCAAATAAGACATCCAAAAATATGTTTATATATTACTAACAACTACAAATTTGTACTCTATTGACACCATCATCAACTTGTGCTATACTTTAAAAAAAAAAGTTTACATAATAATGTGATAATGTCACGACACAAAATGGGTATGAATAAAGTAATTTTATAAGAGAAAAATAATAATACTTATAAAAAGTTAAAAAATATCTTATTATCAGCTTCAAACAACTTGCTAATTTATTAAAAGAGACAACCTAGCTAACATGTAATTTGCAATCAATTATAATAAGATTATAATGTAGTAATGCCAAAGTGCATATCCATTCTTTTTTTCTTTTTTTTTTTTTTTTGGTGATAACCACCACCGCCCTAAGCGGACACTATCTGACTCTTCTAAATCTTGTTCCGCTAGCATCAACAACCAGGAGCCTCAACATATCTTCCGGAAGGGCCTCAAGATTCAAGAACTGTCGTTCTTATTTCTGCAGATTGACCGAGATTGGCAAGAAAATCAGCACACCTATTTCCTTCCCTCATAATATGCGCAAAGATAACCTCCTCAAATCCCGAGATGAGCAGATCCATTCTTTAAAACCAAGATCACTATCAATCTTTGCTTTGAAGCAATATAATACAGGTAATTTGCAATCAATTCTAATAGAGTAAATACCCAAAATAGTCCCTCGACTATAGCTAAATTCACAAATTGGTCCTCGACTTTCAATTTCAACCAATTAAGTCCTTAACTTTGCAATTTTAACACAATTTGGTCATCTGTCTATTTGACCGTTTGTTGACTGTTGAGGATATATATGTAATTTCATGGTCCATCGTCGGATTTTTAAGGTTCCGGTTGCATTTCCAGACCGCACAGTTACATTTGAATCCACTGCCAAAAGCAATCTACCAAATCCGCTCGCTTTTCTTCATCCTCCCTTTAGATTCAATGTAGTTGAGTTCGTACCAGAGCGAAGAAGACGACGTGTTTCCGAACCAGTGCAACGTCATCCTGGAGGCCTCCACGTGCTCCGACGAGAGCTGAAGGTTCTTCTGGAGATCGTCGATCACGGTCAACAAATGATCAAATAGATGGAGAACCACATCGTGTCAAAATTACAAAGTTAAGGACTTAATTGGTTGAAATTGAAAGTCAAGGACCAATTTGTGAATTTAGCTATAGTCGAGGGACCATTTTAGGTATTTACTCATTCTAATAAGAGAAGTTTTCAGAATTATAGTTGCCTTGTAAATCAAATATCAATCACCCATAGCCATAGGCAGAACAAAGTAACCAACCAATTCCTCTTACCTCAACATTTCCAATAGCTTGAGCACTACCAGCTTCCCAGTTCAAAAACTTTTCTGCAAAACCATATCAAAACAAAGAATTATTTGCAGAACAGAAAAGAAACCCATGCCAGATGTAAAGCAATATAATAGCACCATACATTCACACAACTCTTGATCAAAGATAGCAACTCTACTATTCAGCCATCCATTGCCTTGAGCTATTCAAAACTGCTTCTTTCTATGATGTTGAATTGAGGAAGTTTATCCTTAATCGCCTGCCTGCGAATGAGAAACCATTTGGCTGTCAAAGAATATCCAATGCATTTTTTTAAAACAAGCTAGGCAATTATTATAATGATAGCACTTGGAATTGAACAAGGAATGAGAAGCACCAAACAAGAAATCTATATTTTGAATTGAAGATTGGTTAATGAAGTTATTCGAACGCAATTCTAGCAACATATATACTTTGTCATTTAGCATCTGATCAAAGCTGAAGGTGTCATTCACTATCTGTGTACATACCATTTTTCTAATACCACTTAATTCACTGTTATCTCAGTCTCTACATATGGATACGGTGATTCCTCGTATTCAAGCCCATTGAATTTGAATTTGATCTATGGAAAATGGAGAGAATGAAATAAGATCATCAGAAAAAGAAATATTAACTGTTTTTCTAAAGAATGTAAAAGAAAATAAAAAATTAAGAATGAGGCATGATATATGTAGCTTCTAACCTCAAACATTCTTCTTCGTAATGGATGCAGCCCTTTTGAATCTGCATGGCAGCAGCGACAACAGAAACTAAAATCAGAGAGATTAAGTTTCTTAAGCTGACGCAACATGCCAATTACTGTTAAATGCCTATCTGAGAAATTAAACCGCGCGGCCACTTGATCTCAACTTCTCCCGTAGGAAAGGAAACATAGACTGATTTGAAGGGTACGGTTATGCATCACCTGCCCAATGTGTCTGTAGACACATCTGTATCGGTACTCTGTGATTTTGATCTATGAAAACATAAAGCAGAAAGTAGAATGAGATCAGTTCAGGAAAAGAGAAATAGTAACTGATTTTGTAAAAAAAATAAAAAATGTCAGCATTAAATAGAAAAGACCTTTAGCTTCTAACCTTAAGATTTTTGGAACTTTTCTTCCGTTGAAACTGCTTGACAGAAGCGACAAGGGAAGAGCGACACCCCTCCAACTCAATTGACTCCAAGTTGTAACCTGTAAGATCCTTTGGCATCTGTTTCAGACGATTACAAGATTTGAAGACTCTGTGTCTGAGCTGCCAACAGTCAGTCGAGGAGCTAAGTACCCACTTCTTGAGTTCTTTAGCTTCAAGGAGCAAGAATATTAATTCAGGAAATCCTCCTTTAGCTACTTCCCATACTTTTCCATGGAAGGCATTTTCCAACTTGAGCACCTTCAGCTGGGGTAACTTGGCAATTACATTTAAGTCCCTCTCAGAAATATTAGTTCCACTCAACTTCAACTTCTTAAGTCCTGAAGGATACCTAGCCAATTCTGGAAGGGCTGTATTGCAACCAATAGAAACTGAGATGCTTAGCTTCTCAAGCCATTTAAAATAGTAAAAATGATCCAAACAAATAGGACTATTGCAACATCCTCCAATGTGACTGGGGAGCTCTATCCCATCCTTCAACAAAATTTTCAGATTTTTTATGTTAGGGAACTTGCTGTACATCTTTGTTCTGCAATGAACTGGTCTCACCACCCAAGATAATGTTTTTAACTCCTTTTTATCTGCACTTGGAGGATATACCATATATGAATTGCCTAGTTTGAGATGCTTTAATTGTGGATTTGTGGTGGCTTCCAAATACTGGATGGCAAATGCACAGTTGGTTCTCCATCACCAAAAACAACAAGTGTCTCTAAATTTGGATTATTTGACACTACATCATTCAGATCGTCGAACCATTGTGTTATGTATAGGTATCTCAGAAAAACTAAACCCCCTAATTGCACTGGCATTAGGCATGTAAAGTCATATAATCTCTATAGGCACCAGATGAATCACCCTGCCTGTCATAGCCACCAACATGCTTCTTATGAAAAACGCCAAACATATTAGTTAACTCAAACGCACTATCAAGGGTTTCACCAATGACAGTACATCGTAAATGACTAACATGCATCTCCTTCACTATGTTCGGTGAGGAAAAATTGACCATTGTCCATTTGAGAGGATACTCTTGAGCCTGTGTTTCAATACCATCTATTAGCATATTTTGAATTGAATGTTAGTTAATAAAGTTATTACTTATTAGAATGCAATTCCAGCAACATACCCTGCCATTTAGGATCTGATCAAAATTGAAGGTGTCATTCAGTATCTGTGGCAGCTTGCCGGAGTCACCAACATGATTTCTTCAAAAAGACAAAACATCAACATTAGATCTATCTCTTTCACAATGTTTGGTGATCCACTGTCTTTTTGACAGACAGCTCAATCTTGAGCCCACGTTTCAGTAGCATCTATTACCAACTTCTGGATACTCTGCAGTAGTAAGTTTATTGCGTTCACGAGGAGAAATCATTAACTTCTAACCAAAGAAAGTAACTACACGAGCTATTTATTGTCTTGACAATACTACAGTGACAAAACCAGGTTAAGCAATACTGCATCTTTCAATTATGTTACCGAATTAGATCATAGTGTCATCTTGACTGCACATTTTCAGAGCTGAGGTCCAAGGAAACAACCAAATTATACCTTCAATATAACTGTACAAGTAAACAACACCATTCCAACCCACAGCCCCGATCTTCATTCAGGTTATAACTTGGTGACAGAGTAATATTATTCTAAATTATAAAAATGAATTTACATTTTGTATGTACAACTATACAAGCCTGACTCTAGTGTAAGCTAAGTCCAAACCAAGATTGTATAATTACTTATATAAAATAAAATAAAGTGGGATGTAACCCTGGAAAGTGCAAAATTACACAATTGAAAAATCAGCACTTGTAACCTAACACATACCATTTTGTAACAGTTACTCCGTATATACTGTGAGGCTGCCAAAGTCGTCTTACATAGACACTTCTGTATCTGTATTCTGTGATTTATCATATTTGGGGTCCAGGATTTTGATCTGTGAAAAATAATGCAGAAAACAAAATAAGATCAGAAATATAAAATAGTTTAAAAAAAAAAAAAAATCAGCATTGAATAGAAAAAGAATGAAAAATAATGCAATAAACAAATGAGATCATAAAAAAGAAACAGTGATTGATTCTGTAAAGAAAGTCAGCAGTGAATTAAAAAAGAAATAAAAATTAAGAATGAAAAATAATGCAATAAACAAATGAGATCATAAAAAAGAAACAGTGATTGATTCTGTAAAGAAAGTCAGCACTGAATTAAAAAGAAATAAAAATTAAGAATGAAACACGCTTTAGCTTCAGACCTCAATATTTCTGTATTTAAAATCCTGTTGAAACTGCTTGGCAGAAGTGACAAGGGAAGAGTGACACCCCTTCAACTCAATGGATTTCAACTTGTAACCTTGACACTTTGGTATCTGTTCCAAACAATTACAAGATCTTAAGACTAAGTGTCTGAGCTCCCAAAGGTCACCCGGGTTGCTAAGTACCCACTGCTTGAGTTCTTTAGCTTCAAGGAGCAAGGATATTAATTTAGGAAATCCTCCTCGAGCAACATTCCATACTGTTCCATGGAAGGCATTTTCCAACTTGAGCACCTTAAGCTCGGGTAACTTGGCAATAACGTTTAAATCGCTCTCAGAAATATAAGTCCCACTCAACTTCAACTTCTTTAGTCCTAAAGGATACCTACACTGTTTTGGAAGGGCTGCATTGCAACCAATAGAAACCGAAATGCTAAGCTTCTCAAGCCCTTCCAAATAGTTAAAATGATCCAAAATAGTAGGATTGCGGGAATATAATCCAATGTGACCGGGATCTAAGTCATCCTTTAGCAAAATTTTCAGATTTTTTATCTTAGGGAACTTTTTGTACACCTTCATTCTGCAATGAACCGGTCTCACCACCCAAGATAATGTTTGTAAATTCTTTTTATCTGCACTTGGAGGACCAACCATATATGAACTGCCAAGTTCAAGATGCCTTAAGTGTGGTGACTTCCAAATACTAGATGGCAAATGGACAGTTGGTGCTCCATTACCAGAAACAACAAGTGTCTCTAAATTTGGATTATCTGACACTACATCATCCAGATCTTCGAACCATTGTGTTATGGATAGGTATCTCAGAAAAACTAAACCCCCTAATTGCACTGGCACTCTTTGAAGTGATATAGAAGTATCAAAAGCCAAAACTCTTAACAGCTTGGGAGGAACAAACATTTCTGGATTTTCATGAAAGAAGAAAATGGAGCGAGCGATGTTCATATCAAAGAGCACATAATAGTCAAAACTGTGTGAGTACAAACTTAGCCAACGACATGAATTTGCAAATGCTTTTAATGGCAGTCCTAAATGTTGCTGAGTATTTACTGCACAAAAAATAACTTCTCTCTGAGCTTGTACAACACAGAAGCTATGCATAGCACTATGCATTCTACAAGTCTTGATTTTGCCATCAAAACTTAGATCTTCAAGTAAGAGAAGGCTTCTATTAGTAAGCTCTTGTAAGTACTCATAAACTTGATCTTCTAACTCGTTATGATCCAATGGCTTCACAAATCCCTCAGCAATCCACAACCTTATAAGCATTTTAACTAGAATTTTGTTACGTTTTGGGAAGACTCCAAAGTATAGAAAGCATACTTTCAAAGAATCTGGTAACATATTGTAACCGACCATGAGTTCATTGTGATCTAGAAATCCCAATGATTCTAATTCCTTCTCAATCTTCTTCCACCCTTGTTGTATGTTGTTGCATTTAGATAAACGCTTGGCAACTTCAACAATTAACTGGGGTAATCCATCACATTTCTCCACAACATGGTTCCTAATTTTTTTATATTTAGGGGCCAAGTGCTCTTCATCAATAGAAAGGATATTACAAAACAGTTCCCAACTTTCTTTTGGATCTAGCAAAGTCATGTTATGGATATAGCAGCTCAAGTATTTATATCGGTCGGTTAGGTTGAAGTGTCTAGTGGTTAGTAATATGCAACTTCCAAACTTGTCATCAGGAACACACTGTTTGATGTCAGTCAAAGCTTGATTGCTCATAATGTTGTCCAAAACAATTAGATACATCCTACCACGTAAGCATTCGCGTACCTGCATTTCTAGTTGATTTGGAGTGCTTCCCTTTTTAATTACATTTGGCTCCACTGGTGTCATTGACTGAAGAAGGTCGATTAGCATTCTGCTCTTATTGTAGTGTTGAGGTATAGTAACCCAACCTCTTACATCAAAATGCGATGAAACTGATGGATCTTCATACACATTTCTTGCTACAGTAGTCTTTCCAATACCCACCATTCCAACAATTGAGATTATCATTAGTTTTTGAAAATGGGAAGAAAAGAGTTGGTCCTTTATGACTGTACAATCATGGTGACGACCAACCATTCTGCCCTCAGACTCAACAACATTGGGAGAATTGGAAGCTGCAGCATGTTTTAATGGTTGAATTTGATTTGCCTCATCTTCATCAACTTCTTCATTGCTTCTTTTATTACAGTTCAAAAACACTTCTGCCCTTTCTGCTGCTTCTTGTGAAGCTTTTTCTTTTTTGATGCTCTTCAACAACTCTGTCGCAAATCCAGCTGCTTTTTGCCAGGTTTGACTGAGCTTCTGGGCTTCTTCTTTGGAGGTGTGTTTGGCTAGAAGGAAGTTGTTTAGTTGTATTTGGAGGCCATCTTCAGCCTTGAGTGCGAAGACTCTGATTTTGGTTTCCAATTTTGTGATTGCAGCCCCAGAATTAGAATTGGAATTGGAATTCCCCTCCTGCAATAAGCAGGCTCGCAGAGAAAAAAGCATTTCTAAGAAAGATTCCATTGCTGCTGCACCACCAAAATACACCTCTGGGAATCGTGGCAAATTAATGCAATGCTTAAATTTTGTGATGAGAATAGTTAAAGCAACACTAGCCTTCTCTCTCTCACTTACACATGACTCCGACAATAGCTCTGCTGCATTTTTTGCAGCTTCTTCCAATGTTTGATGGAGTTTATGGAAAGCTTTTTCTCTTTTGCTAAGTTGTATTTCAATGTCGACTTCAGCAAGAAAGGTGTTGCTAAGTTGAATTTTAATGTCGTCTTCAGCCTTGAGTGCAAAGTCTCGGATTTGGATTTCTAAATCTCTGAGTGCATCACCATCACCACTGGATTTGTTGTCGAGAAAGGCTTGCAAGCAACAAAGGTTTGCACGGAAAGATTTGATTAGTGGTCGATGGAGAGACATCCTCACCCTTGATGTGGGTTGGAGAAACTCAATCTCAATGCTTCTAATCAGAGAAGTTAAAGCAACACAAGCCATCTTTCTCTCATGCTCCTTTTCTTTGTTGATAATCTGCAACAACTCTGCCGCAATTTTGGCTGCTTTTCGCAGGGTTTGACGGAGCTCCTGGGAAGCTTCTTCTTCATGTTTGGGGCCTTTGGCTAAGAGAGCTAAAAGGAAGTTGCTTACTTGTGATTCAATGTCATCTTCAGCTTGGAGTGCAAAGTCTCTGATTTGGATTTCTAAATCTCCATCTCCATCTCCATCTCCATCACCACTGGATTTGTTCTGGAGAAAGGCTTGCAAACAAGAAAGGTTCGCATGGAAAGATTTGATTAGTGGTCGATGGAGAGACAGCTTCACCCTTGATGTGGGTTGCAGGAACTCAATCTCAATGCTTCTAATCAGAGAAGTTAAAGCAACACAAGCCATCTCTCTCTCCCAATTGCAATCTTTAATTTGGTAAAAGTATGTAATATACAGAAGCTTTAAGTTTTGATATTAATTAATTGCACACTGAAAGATAGATTAATTAGATAAAATATGCAATCAAGAGTCCGAGAAGAGCTTGTTGACTGCCTGGCTATCTTTATTCGTCTTCTTACCAGTTACCATGCCCGGCCGCCGGCCCTAAACATCACTTCCAAGTTCCATCTCAACCTCATAACTCAACAATTCAATTGTCCTTTCAAATTGGCAACTTTAATAATGCAATTGAGTTAATCTACGTAGACTCTCAAATCATACTTCTTAAATTTTACTCCTTTCAAATTACTTTTGTTATGTGCATCTCAATACAAGTATTTACATCAAGATTTTATATATAGATGAGAGTAGAAAATAGGAGCACATGTAATATTTTCTACCCATTATTATTTTTGTGTTGGAAAAGAAATATTTGTACTCTTGACAATTCTTATTTTGTATCATATTTTACCACATTCTTCTTCCCACTCTTTATGTTGATTTCAAGGTGTTTATTTGGATTTTAGAACTAAAAATCATATTTTGTGCTTAAAATTACGCAAATGCACTTTGGATGAAGGAAAAATGGAAAAGGAAGTAAAAGTTGATCATTTTAGAGTGCGGAAGCAAAATTAGAAGAAAACGCGCAAAGGAGTAGATCTAAAAAGGACGTGACATGAAGACAAAGTCGCGCACGGACGATGGCACGCCCGTGCATAATGCACAAGCGCAGCTTGTCCTCTGCACGAGCACACCATACCCATGCCATACCGATGCAACCGCAAATGCAGTGGTACGTCCGTGCGGTGCACGTGTGCCGAAACCCTGGAGAAATGCTATAAATATATCTTTTTCTCCTTTTGCATAGAGAGCCGCCATAGGAGTACTATAGCAATTTACAGTTTATGGTTTTTTCTATCTTCCTTAGCAATTTGCAATTTATGGTATTTTATTATTACCAATCTACTTTACCTTAGATTACCTTGTTATTGTGTTCTTTGGATTCTAGTTTGTTGAAGTTATTTTTCCATCTTTATTTGTTTATTACATTGTTGGCTTATGTTATTGATAAATGTTCATGTGTTTTGTTCTTATATTCTGAGTGAGTAGAGTAGTTTAGGGGTTGGATAGTGGTATTTATTGTGTTTGATGTTTGTTTGATACTTATTTCATTTAAGGGTTTGAAATCCAACCTAGGGTCCTTGTTCTAGTGAGATGTTTTGTGTGTTAGTGTTGATGGGTTTGTGCACAACCTTGTCAATACTTGTCTAGTATGGAATTTTGGCAACCGAATAAGTAAGGAGTCCACGGGTTATCACACCCCTAGACTCGTCCCTCAATCGTCATTATTCCTTAGACCACATCTCACAACCTTCAAGTTCACTTACGAAAGTAGGGAATATTGAAGGTCGACTATTCGTGCTTATTGAGGGGGATTGGTAGCGTCATAAGAATTCTACAACCCCCGTTTATCGAATTGGCCTAGCATTGGATCACGAGAGTGACGTGTTAGTCAACCAATTTGGAGTTGGTAGTCTTGAAGTCAATGTTGAAGTTTCTTAGCCCTCAATCTTTTGACTCATGGCATCAGACTAATAAATACTCATTCCAATCCCTATCTTTTTATTATCATTTCTATCCTTTTGTTTTCATTCATATGCTTATCATATCTTTTTCGTGTTATTATTTGCTTAACTTCCACAAATCATTTTGTACTTGTGTCTAGTCTTTTTTGGCTAACCCAACCCCCGATCCTTGAGGACGATAAAAAACAAATTTATTTTTGTTTGTTCCGAATATCACTATACTTGTTCAGAGCGAATCAAAAAATTGGTGTCGTTGCTGTGGATTGGCAATTGGGACGTGGCTTTCAGTACAAGCTCAACAAATCATGACCTCAACTTTGCAGGGCGAGGAGGTTCTTCAACGCGAGCTTGGCTTCTCAGAAGACGTGAAGGTTGCAGAATTTCAAGGAAAGGCATTGAAGATGCTCTATAGGAGTGTGCCAAAGCAACAACTGTGACCAAATACACAACTGCCATTAGAAAACTAAGACAATTAGATGAGGATGCATATGTTTGGCTATCTGATAAGAATCCAACAGAATGGAACATGTCACATTTCACAACTATTTCTCACTGTGATATGTTGGTAAACAATATCTTTGAAAGTTTTAATGTTGTAATTGTTGATGCACGTAAACAACCTATCATTTTGCATTGTGTCTTGAATTAATCAGAAAGCAGCTAATGACCAAGCTATTTGCCAGTAGGGAACAAAATGACTAAGTGGACTAACAGTTTTGTCCTAGGATTGTGAAGCAAGTTAAGGTTATTGAGAAAAAAACAACTGGTTATATTGGATATCAATGTGATACATATTTATTTGAGGCACAACATAGAGTGGATTTGCAAAGAAAAACCTGTTCATGTAGAAAGTGGGACCTCACTAGTATTCCATGTGAACATGGTGTGTGTGCTATTTGGCTTAAGTATGGGAAATGGCCTATAACTAACTGCATCTACACATGTTATTCTAAAGATACATATTTGAAGATTTATGAAGGATGTATCTGATCAATGGCTGCCCTGATGATTGGTCTTTAATATAAGCTAGTGAAAAAGAACCACCCCTACCTCATTTGTGCATTGCCAGAGCAGGGAGGCCACAAAAATTAAGGAAAAAGTCAGCTTGTGAGCTCACAAAGGATGGAGAAAGAGTGGCAAGTCTCAAATATAATTACATTGCTCCAATTTCAGACAATCTAGCCACAATAGCAAGAGATGTCCTAATGATCTAACTTTGACAGAAAAACAGGTAACGTTTTTTTAGTATATTGTATTTACCTTTATGTGTTCACCTTAATATGTTTATGGATTGATAGTATTGTATTTGCAGAAGAATCCAAGGAAAAATGTGAGATCCAAGAAGCAACAACTTGTTGAGAACACTACTGAGCCACCTGTTGATAACAATACTGAACAACTTGTTGAGAATACTTCTGAGCCAAGTGTTTACATTCCAGTTCTAATGGAAGCCCATGATGTTTTAACACAAGAAGATTATAATTTTGAGATGGCTTTAGGTTCATTCAATTTTGATGATCTTACACTGCCTATGCAAGTCATAGTTCAAATTCCAGAACAAGCAGCCCAAGTTGCAGAACAAAAATGCCAAGTTGAACCAGTTGAACAAGCAGCCTAAGTTGAATCCCCACATGCACAACCAGAGGCCCAAGTTGAACCAGTTCAAGCCCCACTTGTTAGAAATGAAGTGAACCTTACTAAGAATGGAGTGAGAATATTCTATGGACCACTTCCTTCCCAAGAAAAAAAATAGTTGAAAGAGAAAGTTTCAGTTAAGAAAAAGTACTCTACCAGATCTTTTACCACAATGAAATCAGTGTTTCATGTAAATAACAATGATCCAATTAATATTGACTGAAGTATGATGCCAAAATGAAATGGTTTTTGTCAAACTATGATGCCAAAATGTAATGGTAAATCGTTTTTGTATTAGGCATGTTCTTTTGTCAAATTATGATGCCAAAAATGTAATAGTAATTCTGTTTGTATTAGATAGGTGTTTTTGTCAAACAATGATAAAAACAGCTTTTGATCAATACAAATTATAGTTATTATGATACAAATTTGTCTTAGGCAATGGTTTATGGTTATTATAGTTTTTATTGGCTTATGATTATTATAGCTTTTGGTCAATACAGATTATTGTTATTATAGGTTTTACGTGCAATGTTTTCTTTGGTCAATGTCAAGATCTGATGGATATTGTAAAAGTACACCACCAAAGGTTTGGCTTGATGAAATCTGAACACATGAAGAGGCAAAGATGCCATATAATCATATCTGCAGAATCATCATACTAGAGAAAATAGTAAATGCTAGCTAAGGTCCTCTGAATTTGGTGGTTTCGCCACATTTAGTTCTAAACTTTCAAATCGACCACTCGTGGTCTTCTTAGTTTCGAATTCGACCTGCCGTAGTCCTTTCGTTAACATATGTCGTCTGCCCGCATTGTGAAAAGTAAGGGCAAAACAGTATTTTTATTTCAACCCCAGCCAAAACAATTCATTTCCCTCAAAAATTAAAATTAGCCCTAATATCCTCCCATCAAACTTCTTCTCCAATAATTCCCAATTATGCAAACACCCATTCTTTGGCGAGCCAAAATCGCAATTTCAATCCAAAGATTTCACAATTGTGGATTCGTTCCTGACAAAGAAAGCTCTATAGTTCTATAATTTTTTAGGGAAATGATTTGTTTTGGCTGGGGTTGAAATAAAAAGGTATTTTTGCTCTTACTTTTCACGGTGCAGACGACAACACTTAACGAAAGGACTACGGCAAGTCGAATTCAAAACTCAGAGGACCATAAATGGCTGATTTGAAAGTTTAGGACTAAAGATAGCGAAACCACTAAAATCGGAGGACCTTGGCTGGAATTTACTCCTATAGAAAACTACAAACAACTTTTGCGAAGAAGGAAGCCATTTCATTCAATGCAAAATATATTCCATATATAGATTGAAATAACATCTACTGCATAAGATTTTTGCTTCCAAATCCTCACATCAATTGATTCAAAGGTTTACAATTCGATGATGCATTCATGCCACTACTGAAGAACTTAACACTAACAACAACTATAATTACTAGGACTGTTAACGAACCGAACATAAACGAATGGAGGTTGTTCGTGTTCGTTTGTTAAGGAATTTGGAGTGTTCATGTTCGTGTTCGTTTGTTAAGAAATTTGGAGTGTTCGTGTTCGTTTGTTAAGGTTTTTGAAAATCCTGTTCGTGTTCGTTTGTTTAGCGTTCATTAGTGTTCGTTAATGTTCGCGAACACGTTTACGAACGTGTTCGTTAACGTTAACGAACATGTTCGCGAACGTGTTTGTTAACGTTCGTGAACACGTTCGCGAACGTGTTCGTTAACGTTAACAAGCATGTTCACAAACATGTTTATTA